GGGGACAAGGAGCGGGGGAGGGTTGGGGGTTCTGAGGGGGGGGAGTGGGAGGGGCAGGGGCGGGACTAGGACAGGGGCGGGGCTAGGGCGGGGCTCCTCCCGTGCTCTTTTTTGCTTGCTGAAATATGGTAACCCTAGCATGGATGGAAGCGGGACTTGGGCTCAAAGCGGAGTCACAGCCAGGGCTTAGTATGGGGCGAATGCTGAGCAAAGCAGACTGGGGAGAGGCTGTTATGCCCACATGCCATGCTGCCTGCCCCACAGCTCTTGTGGCAAATGCAAGGTGGTAGGCCCCACCAGCAAAGCTCTAATTGGCCTGGGGCCCAGCTGCCTCATGGACCCCTTCTCCTATTCCCTGCCAAAGGAAGAGGCCTGAGGGGTGGAGGGTCTCCTGCAGAATTCGCTCCTCTTTCAAGTACACGGAGGGCCAGGGCTGCACCCCTCTGTCCCGGTTACTAGGCATGGACCCAGCTGGCCAATGTCAAGGAAGGGCAAAAATGGTCACATGCAGGGCTGTAACTGGCAGCCTGGGGGTGGACAAAACCGAGGAACTCTGCCCGCTATTGGCACCTTATCTGTTAACTATTTACACATAATTACAGATTATATACACATACATAGAGCTCTCTGGTAACACCATGTAGGAGGTAGTGTGAATAGAGCTGGTCAGAAAATGGGGGTTTTCCCTGCTGAAAAATTTAACTTTTGGTGAGAAATAAAAATCAAAGTCTGAAGTATTTTGGCTGAAAACCAAAATGGTTCAATTCTGAAAGGCTGCTGCGGTGCCTCATGGGAATTGTAGTTTGGGTGCCTCATGCTCCCATTCACCTCTGTAGACCAGGCTCCCTGACTGGACTCAGTCTTCCACAATGCACCATGATCTCCTCTCAGGGGGAGGAGAGGCAGTGCATTGTGGGAGTCGCGTGGCCACGATGCATCCTGGGAGATGAGGTCTGGCTGGAGAACAAAGAAAGCTGCTAGTTGAATGATTTCAGTGATTTGAATGATTTCCTCAATCTGAGGAAATTGCACTCTGCCCTGCGTAGTCCACAGGGAGAATGACTGGCTGAGTTAACCAGCTACAGTACTGATCGCAGTTATATGCCCAGCGCTAATACTGAGCAAGCATCAGTCTAGGAGATAAATTCACCCTGGACCGGGGCTTTTGTACCACCTGAAATACCCAATGCGCAGGGGTGGATTTCACCCAGAGAGAGGAAATCCTCTCCAACCTTGTTCTGCCCAAGGCATGAGCCTTCTTTGAGTTGGTCTGAAGTCCCATCTACCCTACCTCCCACCCAGCCTCTCCCTTCCCACCTGCTACAGACCCCTTGCTCCCTGTATCTTGGTCACTGGAACAGGTCCTGGCCTTGCTACCTCTGCATTAACTAGAGGAGGTGGGGAACAATGCCTGATCTCATCTTACCCCAGGAGAAGAAAAGTTTCACTGGAAAGTCCAACAAGAACTCCTTCCTCTCCCCGCCCCCCCATCCCCAGCTGGATGCAGTTAGGGTGACATGGATGGGCACAAGAATTGCTGCAGCACCATGGAGAAGCCAGTCAGTTATTGCAGAAAGAGAGACAATGATGTAATCAGTGGGAAGTCAGGGCCAAGGCTGGGTGAGGACGGCACGGCTTATGAAGAATGGGATTCAGGAGAGGGCACCAGGAAGGGGACTGCAGCCCCTTTTGCAAAGTGTCAGCTGAAGATACAGCATGTGATAGAGGCAGGTAGTTATTTTTGGGGGGTGGGGGAGAGACAATAATGGCTCTTGGAGGGTATTGAACTGATGCGTTCTTGTTTCACCCAGAGACACGGGAAGGGTGTTCTGAATTGTTAGAACTAGCACAGAGGGACACCCGATAATCAAATGTCATTCAGGATCCCTGTGCGTTACTCCAGCAGAACTAAGTGTAGGTGTGTGTGCGTGTGGTGTGGGTCGGTGTGGAGGGATGGGTGCAGGTGTTGGTGACAGCAGAAGGGATCAGTGTGTGGGTTGGGTGGAAGCGGGTATGGGGATAAGTACGTAACGAGGCAGGCATCTGTATGTGGTGGAGTGAGAGGTGTGGGGAAAGGAGCATAGGAAGAGGTGCCTGGTGTATACAGTAGATATGGTGGAGAGGAGGGGCGCATGAGTGGGAACCAGTGACGGCTGTGGGGCATGTGCATGGGAAGGGGCACGGCTGTGCGGCACATGCGTGGGAAGGGGCACGGCTGTGCGGCACATGCGTGGGAAGGGGGAACAGCTGTGGGGCACGTGCGTGGGAAGGGGGGGCGGCTGTGGGACACGTGGATGGGAGCATTTCCTATGCTGTTACTCCATTTTACTTGGACGAGCTCCCAGGATCCTGGCAGATGCCGTAGTTGGTGTTGGTGATGGATCCCACGATGCTCTTATCGGCCTCACAGGTTAAGCCATTCTCACAGGGACACTTGTAGTAAACCCCATAGATGCTCTGCAGGGGACACAAAGGTCTGGGTAATAGTACGGCACATTGCAGCATGCCCAGCGCCTCCTCTCGTCTACCAGCAAGGCCTCAGCAAACCAGTCTGCTTCTCCTACAACCAGCTGTCTGCTGTGGGACACCCTTCCTGAGCAGCTCCACAAAGCCCTCCCTGTATTCAAATCCCACCTCCGCCACGATGCCTGCAAACAACCAGCCTGCTCATAACGGCGAGGGGAGGGGCCAATGGCGTGAGACAGTGTCTAGTAACGCACCTCATGAAGCATGGGTCTTTGTCACCCTCTACTGGCTGGTTACAAGAGTTCCAGGTAGGAAATGTGGTCCTTTAGCTCAAGCAGCCAAGTGTCGTGATTTTAGCTGTGAGGGTCCCACATTCTAAGCCCGCTGTTGCCCAGCAGGCTCAGTTACACTGATACCTCCATGTATTGACCCGGAGGTGGTATTACCCTGTTCCATGCTCTTTGTCCGTCCAGCCTGAGCTCTCTGGGCAGGGATCGGGCCTTCCTGTGCAATCGTACAGCACAGTCTGGAAACAAATCATCAGCCACATCGGGGGCTAGGACACCACTGCCGGAGGCAGCTAAATGGGAAGCCCTAGAGTTGCCCAGTCTTTGAGTGGGGCATTAGGAAGGCCCCGCAGAGGGGCTGTTGGGCGCTATGACCAGGTAAGCGCCTGCCAAGAGGGCAAGGGAGCCAGGCAGCCTTCCTTCAGAAAGCAGCTGTTACTAGAGGGAGAATGGGAGCTACCTTGGCGAAGAGGTGTTCCCAGAGTGGGAGGGACCTGCCTTGAAAATCCAGCCCTGCCTGCATGGAAGGTGTTGAGGGCACCCAAGAACTTTCAAGGGGGTGGCCCAAGGAGGAAGCGCACTAGGGACTATCGGCATGTCACAGAAAAGGGACCACAAAGGTGTTTGGACCGGGATCCTCGAGCTGCTGGAGCTTTGCCTCTTCCCATAGTTGTTACTCACAAACAATTTGCAAACGTGGGTCTCTATCAGCTGCCTGCACATCCGGATCTCAGCTGCTTTACCCGCTGCTTAAGGAGGAAGGACAAGGCACATCTGTGGGAGCGTGAGCCAGAGCTAGCGGGCCACGTACCTTGGGGGAACACTCCTGATTCTCGGCTGCTCGGTTCGCACAACGAGCCAGGCTTAACACGCCAGTCTTGTGGCAACAGCTGCTCTTGCACTGAGCACTTTGCAGACACAGCTCCCCATTGTCCTGGAAGGAACGCACAGTGAGAACCGACGCATGGACCCCCAAGGGTCCCAGAGCTAAGGTCCGTCTCCCTGTGCCTCTTCCTATCACAGACGGGAAGCCACACCTTGCAGCTGCGCTCTGTCACCTGCACGCCGGGCCCTGCCTCCAGCCAGCTCTGCTGTGGCGAGTCTCCGCTGGCGGAGAACATGAGTCCCACTTGGAATGAAATGACTGTGAAAAAAAATTGCTCTGGGTGGTTTCTTATGAGTATATCTCGGTGCGGAGTGTGTATTTATAGGCACGTACACACCAAGTGGACCTTGTCTGAGGTGACCAGTCACCTATGGCGTGTGCGTGTGCACGCACACACACACACACACACACACGCACACACACCCCTAAATGAAGTTTTATTTCATCCAATTCACTATAGGCCAAATCCTGAAGTTTTTCTTCAGTCCTGACTCAAGTAAGACTGCCAGGGAGGTGTATAGGAGTTTGCCCTGAATAAATCACAAGTAAGAATAGCAGAATCCACCCCCAAAAGTGAGTCCATTGTGCACACTTCCACACACACGAAATCTGCCATTGCTGGGATGTGCCCAGAAGGCTGCATGTCCCAGCTCCAGTGACCTTGTCCGAGAATCTGACCTTTCCCCCTCTTCACCCTGAATCCCACGAAGGCCCTGGCTGTGGTTTCCAGGGCTTGGTTCGAGTTACACATTCTGACTGGCTCCATCACCTTTTATGTCACAAACCCAGTGAATTGGCTTGTGGTTAAGACAATGTGTGGCAACTGACATATGGCTAAAGCCCTGGACCGGGACACCAGAAACCTCCGTTCTGGCTCTGCCATAAGCTTCCTTTCTGGCCATGACTCTTAGCAATGGTCTGATTTTCAGAGATGCTGAGCTCCTTCCCCTCCCCTTGGCTTCAATGGGCGATGGGATTGTTTGACACCACTGCAAAGCAGGCCGTTAATCGCTCTGTGCCTCGGTTTCCCCATCCATAAAATTGGGAAAATGATCATTCCCTGCCCCATGGGGAGTGAGGCAGTTAGAATTAATCCATCCAAAGTTGTAAGTTATTCCCATACGAGCATGGGGAGGGGCCACAGAAACGCCCATAAAGTCATTAGAATGAAGGAAATCAATTGAAATGAAGTACTAAGCTGCAACAGATGCCTTTGAAAACCTCTCTCCTCCAGCACAGGAAATTCCCAGGGAATCTGACTGAACACCAAAAGGAAGCAGCGGGATATTCTGAGCCACAGCCTGCAAATCTGCAGGGCAGCTAATTCCCCACCGCTCCAAGAGACTTTCCCTCCCTGGAGCGCACGTGGGATTGGGCCCAGGCAAACTCTGCATTTCCCAGTCTCCTCTTACCAAATTGAAGATGAGGCCTCGCTGGTGAGAAAACGACAAGGCTGAGGCAAGGGAGAGCAGCAGCAGCAGGAGCAGGGCGCTCGCCATCTGGTCGTAGGGCAGCCAAAGAATCCGTCTGGGGCTTTCAGGGCAGGAACAGGTGCACAGCAGTGTACCAGGGCTATAAAGCAGATCTGCCATCACGTCACCAGCCCTCTCCCAATCACGTAAGCACACATCTCTCTGTTGATAAGGCCAAACCAGCCCATGAATTCTCTCATGCTCTGAAATATCGAAGGTGGAAATAGAAGAGAAGGATCAAAAGTAACAAAGAAAGGCCCCAGTCCTGCAGTCCTTACACAGGCAATCTCAACCCGAATTTGCCTGTGTAGTTCACCGCCCCGACTTGGTAAAGCCTCCTTATACTGTACAAGGACTTAGAGCCTGTTACTGAAGTCCTTGTTTGGGCACAATACCCACTAAAGTGAATGGGAGTTTTGCCTGAGTGAGGAGTGCAGGATCAGAGCATTTCTCTGCTGTTATCTCCTCCTCGAGGTGCTGTACCAGCTAAGAAGCACCCAGTTTGTTCTGGGGTCTTTCTGATCATTCTCAAAGGCTCTGGAAAGTATTTAGTGCACCTGCATGTCCCTCACAGGCGACGTCAGCAAGCTCATGGAAAGCACAAAGCGGGGAATGATTTCACCCTGTTGGGTTCTGATGAGCCAGCCCTGCTCTGTCTGGGAGCTGCAAATGCAGAGAAACAATGAAAATCATGGCACTGAACCAGAACCATCAGTACAGACAGGGAGCTGCCCCATGAAAACACATTTTGGACTATGAACAAAGGGAATTAAGATAAAGAGTTTGCTAGGGAATTAAGTTGCCTTTTCCTAGTTAAACTCGCCATTGTAATTATTTTTGTTTGAATTTGAGCAAGGACCTTCCGCTCTAGCCATGATCCAAATATCAGACTATTTGAGGGAAATTTGGCAATTTTTTCCTATGACAAAGGGAAAATGTTTCATGAACAGAATCAGAAGCTGGTTGTATCTCCATCAAACAGATCTTTGTACAGCTGTTTTGTTGTTTTTTTAACAGAGAGATCAAGAAATGAAATCCACTCCATGGAAATAGGAGATCAGATTTTCCAGGATTGGCACCCAAGATCTCCAAAGCCCAGGCTTTTGGGGGAGTCATGGCTTTGATCCAGCCCTTGATGGATATATGGAATTTGGACCCAGAGTTCAGATCATGGCCCACCTCCATATATTTTCATCCTTTAGGTCATTCACAGGGAGCATTACATTTTCCAAACTTCCACTCTCATATTCATTGGCATGAGAAAGAAGCCAAGTGAGCTAAGCAAAATATACACATGAGCGATCAAGCCATGCTTGCTCCACAGCCTGAAGAAACAGGCAAAGGGCCCACATGAGCAAATGGAACCCAAAGGTTTCACCAGAAAAGAGACAATTTCACATCACAGGCTACCATTGCTATCCAATGAGTCCTCCTCTGCAAGGTGGGAATGCTGTCTAGTGGTTATACCACTGGGAGTCATTGCTTGTGGGTTGTATTCCTGGACTCACTGAGTCACCTTGGGCCAGTTGCTTAGGTTTAATTAATATTTGTAAAGAGCTCTGAGACTTACGAGATGGTCTGAGCAGTTTTGCTGCACTGACTCTATTTTGCTCTGCAGTTATATCGCACCTCTCTTCCAAGGACCTTAGCGAGCTTTACCACAGTAGGGAATTCGGGCCAGGGAGTTAGGGAAGCACTGTCCCCCCATTTTACAGCGGGGAATGCGAGTCACAAAGAGCTAACGTGACTTGTACAAGGTGACTTTGTTGGCCAAGCTGGGAATAGGATCTAGAACTCCAGGCGCTCGGTCCCATGATCTAAGTACCGGACAATCCTCTCTCCCTTATTACCTCGTTTTAAAGGGATACGATAATAAAATGAAAGTTGATTCTGCTGTTTTGCAAACCCGTATCAGTAAATCTAGTCCACTTAACCACTTCACTGCCAAACAATGTGCCACAAGGGGGCTAGCAAACTTATTTCTCCAGTATAGCCAGATGGATCTAAAAGAGTCGGCGTTCCACTGAAATGAGCAAATAGTCTAATTAGCACTATTTAGTAGCATCTGAATATAAATTAGCCAGGGCACTGTGACAAAAACCTGTAAGCATCCAGCCCACCTTCTCTCCTCAGCCAGTCCAGCTGTACCTTGCACTCCTGAAAAGTGTCTGCTAGAGCTCCACAGCGTTACTGATAAACACTTGGCAGCATTGAGCCTCGAGAAGGATCCGGCAAACAGCACCTGTTCTTGGATATATTTGCTTTAAAAAATATTTCAGTGACGCAGGTTGACTGGATGATAAAAGGAACCCAGCTCTGGGAGCGGGGCAGGTTTCACACCTGTTACACTCCGTCCACTTTTAACAATGATTAACTTGTTTGCTAGCCTTTCAGTTTGCAGCCTTTTTATTAGCCATCCTGAGCGATAACAGATGGTCAGGAGCAGGTGAGTTTCTCCAGCCACTCTTTTTATTGTCCTGACCATTGAAACAGATCTTTAATGGCCCACAGCTGGGCAGATTGTACCAGTGAAAATTCAGATACAATTTGCTTAATGCACAGCAATTTATTTGAGAAAGACTCACACAAGCAGTAAAAGGCTATACAATATGTCTTCTTAATAAGCCTCAATTCCCCAAGCATAAACCCTCAGGCCCTATAACGCTGGGCCTACACAGTATCCTGATTGCAAACAAAGCAGGTATAGCTACCTGTCCTGGATGGAGACTTCTTCTTCTCTGCTCTTCTCTTCTCTTCTCTTCTCTTCTCTTCTCAAGTACTTGGTCTGTCAAATGTCCCCCAGAGCAAGGTTTTAGCTACCCTGAGGCCCTCTGGTCCAAAAGTCCCACAAAAATACCTCATAGCAAGGTATTGGCTACCCTGAGACCCCATCCTACAGGGTCACAGACTTCTTTAGATATTAATTGGGGAACTGCCACTGCACATATGATGTTATTAGTACATATACCGCTCACTCTCAAAGGAGTTACATGCCCCTGAAATATACCCTGTGGCCGGGCAGCCCCTGGGCCAGCAACAGCAGCAATTTGGGTGTGGGAGGGGGCTCAGGGCTGGGGTAGGGGTTTGGGGCAGCACTTACCTTGGAGGCTGGGGCTCTACAGAAGTGGCCAGCATGTCCCTGCAGCTCCTAGGCAGAGGGACCAGGGGCTCTTCACACTGCCCCTGCCTGCAGGCACTGCCCCTGCAGCTCCCATTGGCTGTGGTTCCCAGCCAATGAGAGCTGCGTAGCAGGCGCTTGTGGCGGGCGCAGAGCATGGAGCCCCCCTGGCATTCCCTCCCACTAGAAGCTGCAGGGACATGTTGGTCAGAGCCGGCTAGGGAGCCTGCCAGCCTTGCCAACCCTCCCCCCGCCCCATCATCATCAGGGGTCCTGGGCTGCGCGTTGCCATTGCCCCCCCCCTCCAGCACCAGCAGGGGTCCCGGGCCATGCGCTGCTGCCTGCCTCCCCCCCAGCACCAGCAGGGTTCCCGGGACACCCCTTCCAGCACCTGCAGCACCCCTGGACTGCACCCCCCCAGAGCACCTGTGCCCCTCCCCCCCGGCCCAAGTTTTACTTAGTTGTATATAGTTCAAGTCATGGACAGGTCACGGGCCATGAATTTTTGTTTACTGCCCATGACCTGTCCGTGACTTTTACTAAAAATACCCGTGACTAAAACGTAGCCTTAACCATGATAAAAGCGTCAGCTAAAATACACACACACAGAGCCTCTGGTTAACCATTCATAATCCATAGTTATATCAGCATTCAAGTGCAATTTCAGCATACGATCTGATACTAAGAGAACCCTGCTCCCAGAATCCTTTAGCAAATTCAGATGTACCAAGCCTTACTACATTCATATGAATCAGTCATTCATAATAATTCAGCACCATCCCAACATTTGCCTTGGCCATCCTGCTCCTGGTAGACTCAGCGCCCTTGGGAAACCAGAAAGGCAATCCCTGTGGGGTCAAATGCATTTCTGGTGTAACTCTCTTCCCTCGTCCTCTGAAAACTCTCCAGATTAGTGCAATCATCTCAGATAACAGTAAAAACAATGAGGAGTCCTTGTGGCACCTTAGAGACTAACACATTTATTTGGGCATAAGCTTTCGTGGGCTAAAACCCACTTCATCAGATGCATGGAGTGGAAAATCAAGTAAGTAGTATATATTACAGGACATGAAATGATCCCTTCTAAATGAGCTAGAATAATAATAAAGTTCTTCCTTTTAAAGGAGTTCAGATAATATTGAAAGCTAACACCGAGGTATCGATTAAATCCTTCCTCCCAGGAAAGCAATGATGTTGTTGGGAAATCTCGCTGTGTGTTGCACTGCACTTAGATTGTAGGTCCTTTGGGGCATGGACTGTCCTTTTGTTTTGGGTTTGTACAGCACCTGACGCAATGGCGTCCTGGTCTAGGACTACGGCTCCTATGCGTATGGCAATACAAATAAACAACAATGCTGCTCTGCCCCTGGAAGCAGCCACAGAGATGGGGCTAAGGTTGCTTTACCACTGTCAGGGCAGGGTTAGATGCGACAGGCATAATATCCTGCCTCCACCATTTGCTGTGGCCAGTGCTAGCACTATTGAGGCTAGTGCAATGGGGGAAGATTTTCCCCCAAATTTCCAGCAGAGATACAGCTACGTAAGGAGCAGCTAGGCTGAGTAAGAAGGAGAAAACACTCTGGTGTTGTATCTGATCTGCGAATAAACAGGACTTCCCCATCTGGGATGGTCAATCCAGCACTTTCACCAGCACTAAAACATAAAACATAGGTGCTGGCACGAGGGGGGCTGCCGCACACCCTGGCTTGAAGTGGTTTCCATCATATCCAGGGCTGACAGTTTGGTTCAATGGCTCTCAGCCCCCCCACTACACAAATTGTTCCAGCTAAATGAACCATTAACTTCAGTGGAGCAGCAGTGATTTCCCCCCAGCCGAAGATCTGGCCCTATAACCATATTGTCCTTCCCCCCACAAGCCCCGAGAGCCGCTTGGCTGGTTCCCCACCTTTCCTGTCCCTTGTTTTAGGCACAGTCCCCTGCCCCCATTCAGGGGCTAGTCCCTGGTTGGTTGCTTGGACAGGGGCGGGGCCCCCAGCTGGTGTTCAGTGGATGATGGACGGAGGAAGAGCGTGTCTGAGAGGTGGGGGCTTGGCGGGGGGGCCGCAGGCACCTAGGGGTAGGAGGGGGGCAGGAACATGTGCCATGTCTCTTTGGCTTGTTCTCACTCTAGATCTCTCCATCCAGCCCCCCCACCCGCGGGCTCACAAGGGCGAGATCCCCCCAGGGCAGCCTTCCCCACTCTAGGGCGAGGATCCCCTGCCTCCGGCCCCTTTGCCCAGGCCGGGCGGCTCCCCAGCGGGCGCTCTCCGCGGTGCTGAATCGCGCTCCCGGAGCCAGCCAGAGCGCAGCGCGCAGGGAGCGGGCAGGGAGCTCCGGGCCAGGGGGCGCGCAGGGGCCCCGGGGAGGAGCAGGGGGCCGGGGCCGCTGCCGGAGGCTTGGCTGAGGAACCAAGGGAAGGGGCAGACGGGGGCAGGCGCGGCGGACGCGGGGGAGGAGACACCCGCGCCGGGAGACACGGGGCTGGGAGGGGCCGGGGCGAAGCGGCTGGTCCCCCAGGAGCGCGGCTGGGAGCCGGGCACCGGAGCGACTGAGCCGGGCAGCCCATCCCGGTCCGGACCCGGACTCGGAGCCGGGCACGGGGGCTGGAACCGAGAATCTAGACCCGGAGCTTGATCTCCAGAGCTGGGCCCTGAACACGGGACTTTGGGCTAGGTCCCAGAGCTGCCCCCTGGGTGGGGGGTGCAGGGCACCCTCCCACCTCACTAACTTCCCTGGGAGCCCACAGCCTGAGCCCGGTGCCCACAAGGAGGCAGCCCCCCCAGCCAGGGAGCCCCTGGCCCCACACCTCCAGCCCTGGGCCAGCCCAGAAGCAGCCCACCCAGCCGTGCCATGGGGAAGATGCTGCCAGCCCAGGAAGCGGCCCGGATCTACCACACCAACTATGTGCGGAACGCCCGGGCCATGGGGGTGCTGTGGGCGCTCTTCACCCTCTGCTTTGCGGTCATCATGGTGGTGAGCTTCATCCAACCCTACTGGATCGGTGACAGCATCGACACTCCGCAGGCCGGCTACTTCGGCCTCTTCTCCTACTGCATTGGCAACGCCCTGACTGGCGAGCTCATCTGCAAGGGCAGCCCCCTGGACTTTGGCACCATCCCCTCCAGTGCCTTCAAAACGGCCATGTTCTTCGTGGGCATCTCTACCTTCCTCATCATTGGCTGCATCCTCTGCTTCAGCCTGTTCTTCTTCTGCAATTCAGCCACTGTCTACAAAATCTGTGCCTGGATGCAGCTGGCAGCAGGTGAGTAGCTCATGGGGCTCCAGGGGTACAGCCAACCCAGTCCCAGGGGCAAAAATGCATCCATGTCCTAGAGTCAACTCATTACTGTTTGTGTTACCACAGCCCCTGCAGGGCCTATCTGAGATCAGGACATTCCCAGAGCTGGGGGAAGCAATATAAAGGGCTGGCAACTGCAGACTGAACAGAGAAACTGACTCTGTATTTTTTTTTCTACAATTTGGGTCAATTTAATGCTTGCTAAAGGAGCCAGATGGACAGAGTTAGAACCTGCTGTCCTCCCCAGCCATAAAACAGGCCCATTCAGGCATTTGAGATCACCCCCATTTACCCTACCTTTGTGCCTCATTTATGCCCTGGCAGGGTGACGTCACAGAGGAAGAAGGTAGTTTATAGTCTTCCTGAGCCACACACTCATGGGGGTCTCTGCTGAGACTGCCAGTAATAATACCACCTAGCTCTTCCATGGCACTTTTCATCCAGGGATCTCAAAGTGCTTCGCAAAGGAGGTTAGTGGCATCACCCCTACTTTACAGAGGGGGAAACTGGGGCACAGACCAGTGGTGTGACTTGCCCCAAGTCACCCAGCAAGCCAATGGCAGAGCCAGGTCTCCTGAGTCCAAGTTCAGTGCTCTATCTGCTAGGCCACATTACCAATAAAGGTGTCATTTAGGGCCAAGCGCGAGAGTGATTTTGCAACATGGACACCAGGTCCTAGAGAAGTGGGCTGAGACCTGTCAAACTCATTGCACATAGGTAAGCAATGCTCTTGCTGGTGCAGTAGCTGCACTTGCTGAAGCATGAAGGGAAGAACTGCTCAGAACCGTCTCCCATCTAAAGCTTTACTTTAGGCAGATATAAAGGGCCACACTCTAATATTTTACTCGTCATGAAAAGCACCATCCTACATGAACTCTCCTATTGATTTCAGTGGGGCCCCTCCTGGAGTGGGGCACTTTTCCACTAACCACTTCTGCCCAAAGTTTCATTCTGTAAGAGACAGCTCTGTGCTTGCGAAGCCAGGCCAATTCTGGACGGAAAGAGGCTGGGTGAAGCAAACATGCATGTGTGCGGTTCTCCTGTGCTACTTAGAGCAGAAAGACAAAATCCTTTCCAGTTAAAGAAACAGGTGAGAAAGTCAGGAACAAATGTGGGCCTGAGGCACACTCACCTCTCTCTCTGCCTCCTCTGCCGTTGGAGGTGGGGTAGTTCCCTGCCTCTAAAACGCATGTCCTCAGGGGCGGCAGGTTTGTATAATTTTTGGTGGTGCCCAGAATGGGTCCAAGTCCCGCCCCCCCACACTTGCCTTGTAAGCCGGTATATATATTTTTAAATAATGTAAAAATGTGAGGGCTTTTGTGTGGGGCTGGTGATGAGAGGTTTGGAGTGTGGGAGGGGCTCAGGCAGAGGGTTCGGGTGAGGGCTGTGGGGTGGGGCCAGGGATGAGGGGTTCACAATGTAGAAGAGGGTTCAGAGCTGGGGCAGAGGGTTAGGGTGTGGGGGGATGAGGGCTCTGGTTGGAGTTGAGGGGTTTGGGGTGCAGGCAGGCTGCCGCAGGGCTGGGGCCAGAGAGGACTCCCCCCAGCTGGAAGCAGAAAGCCCCCTCTCCCTCCCAGTAGCACACTCACCTTGCACCACTGTCACTGCACGTGCTCCTAGGGCCCCTCTCAGGTCCAGGAACCCCCTCGCCTCCCCTGTGGTGGGTGCCGGGGGGAGGGTTGCCATCACATGTGTGCCTCCTTCCCTGCTGTGACCCCTCACTATAGTCTCACTGGGGGTGGTGCTGGGGCTGCCCCTTGCCCAGAGTGGGACTGGAGTGGTGACTGCAGGCAGGGGGCCCCCTGTGCTGGTGGAGGGTCCTGCTGGAAAAGGGAAGGGTCTGAGGTGGAAGGGCAGGGGCAGGGGCAGCCTGCCCTGGCACTAGTAGATGGAGGGCTCTAGGACCCTGCGGCGGCAGCCACCGGCTTGAGGCAAGGATGCTCCGGGGCCCTGGGGAGGCGCGCAGGGGTAGCAGGTGGGGGCCAGCCAGGGGGAGAGACCCAGCCCCGAACAGTGGTGGAGTTGGGCCCCTGGGCCCTGAATATTGCTGGAGCCTGGGCACCACAGGCCCATATAACTCGCCACCCCTGCATGACCTGTAATTCTTTCCTGGCTTGCAGAGAACAAATGAGGAACATGAGTTAAAATGGGACATGAGGTCAAGATTTGCCCTATTAGCTTAGACAGTTAGTCCACTAAGCCTCTCCCCTCACTGCAGCAGCCAGTAGCTGATGCTTTAGAGGAATATGAAGCAAAGCCCTTAGGCACCCAACAAGAGGTGCAATTCTGTACATGGCGGGGCGGGGGGGGGGGAATTCCCTTCCAACTCCTATGGCAGTCACCTGATGCTCTGAGGTATGGGACTTGATTGGCTTGCAGTAAGGCAAGCGTTATTGAACATAAAATTATTCACTTAATGAACTCAGGTTGCAGCGACTACAGGCCAAGCAGATGCCAGGTCAGGGAGCAGATAAGCGTGAGCAGACTAATATAGCGAGGCAATTTACAGCCACTGCTGGCCAGTGCTCCTTTTGTTTACCCAGCACATCAGAAAGTAGAGCATGCATCTTACCGTGACACTAGGGACAAAAGGATAACAACTTTCCAGGCTATCCAACCCACTCAGCTTAGCCTGGGGTTTACTGGGTGGAATTACCATTAATTAAACCCTGCCAGCAATACTAGTCCTCAGAGGCAAGGAGCATGGTGAAGGCCGTGTGCTTTCCCTGTCACAGCAAGAAGCTGCTGAAATCCAATCCCATCCAGCCTCCTGAAATATTGATGTCAAAGAGGAAGGCAGCATCCTGTTACAGTTCCTGCTTGGCTCAGCAGGCAGGGAACCTTGCTGGTGGTGAAAATGCCACGGAGATAGAGAAAGTCGGGCCAGCTTCAGTGCTGGTGAAAAGCCCCTGCAGGCAATGGAATTGCAGCAGGGCTGACTTTAGCCCTTAAGGTATCAGCTAATTCCAACTAGTCTAAAGGAAACAATCTCAAAGAAAGGAAGCAGTTCAAAAGTCCAAGGAACCTGAACAACCGAAGATTTGCTGCCCCAGAGGATTTGAGTAGCAATTTCTTATATATTTGCTTCTGCTATTAACGTGACACATGGGGAAACAATGCAGCACCTGTGAAGGAGCTTGATTTTCTAAAGAAAGCAGCAAAGTCTTAGTCCCTTCTCACCATCTTTTCCCTTTGGAGGCAGACAGACCGGAGAGGGAAGGGTTAGGAGCTGTGCTGTGTTCAGGTGACACATGGCTTTTTAACAGATTAATAATAGAGAGAAACATGGTGAGAGAGTTCAATCACCTTAATAAAATAAAGCATTTATCTGATTAGGGTAAAGGAGGGTTTGGGATATGACTGACAGCCAGCCACCTTTCTCTTACATACACTCAAAGATGAAATATGGAGGCTAAAAGCTATTACCTTCCAATCCCAGTACAACAAGTAGATAGAGGACAGCCAGGCTGGGATGCCTTGGCTTTTAACTCCCCCCGAGAAGTGCTAGGGCATTAGTGTGATGGAACTGGGGGCACCGATTGAGGATTTGGGTTTGGACATTGGAAATCTCACGGTGAAGAAAGGGTTTCAGTCTGTGCCTGAGCTGGTTGCTAGCAAATGGACAATGCAACCAGACCTGTGCTTTCCTAGGGACCACGTTTCAAACACACCTGCCGGCAGGGGGACGGGTCTTTAGACAGATGCAACCAAACTCAGCCGTGCCAAGGAAGCCATGATATTATCCAGTCCAACTCACACCACCCTCTCCCTGGCTGTGCTGAACTGTGCTTGAGAGTCGATATGTTTAGGGCTTTGCCCAGTCTAGTTTTAAATATTGCAAACCATGCGACTTCCACCAAGTCCCATGGTAGAGTGGTCCGAAGCCTCGTATATTCCTTGTACAAAAGTAGGTCACAGAGGCCCCAGCCGCTGTGCAAGCAGACAGTGAGAGAATCCCAGTGCTGAAGAGATCACAACTGAAGTAGACCAGATAAAGGGAGCGTGACTACCCCCATTTTACAGATAGCAAACTGAGGCACACAGAGATTAAGGCCAAGATTTTCAAAAGCGATGAGTGGTTTTGGGTGCCCAACATGAGACACTTTTGGCTCTGTACTTACTGAAAACCAGGGTCTTTTTTAGATATCTCAGGTTAGGAACCCAAATACACTGGGCAGTTATGAAAATCTTGGCCTAAGTGATTTGCCCAAGGCACATGGGCAGTCTTTTGGCAGGATGGGAATTGAACCGAGATCGCCTGAGCGCTTTAACCATACAGACATCCTTCTATTCCTAACAGCTCACACTGTCTTAGTTTTCCTGAGATGTACACCAGCCTCCAAGCCACCTTAGCCTTTCACCAGCCTCTGTTGTCTCTGCTGACTGAGTCACAATCTGGTTCTAGCAATCAAGTAGCCACCAGTCTAACCTGCAGTCCTAGCTCAGCTGATCAGCTCTGGAGGCATTGCTGGATGGCCTCATGTCAGGGGCTCTCCATACCTGCCGCAGAGTTAGGCAGATTGTGTTAGCACCATGGACAGAGCCTGTAGCTTCTCTCTGATTTCTCTATCACATCTCAAAGCCAGTGGGGGGCGTGGAAGGGACACCCGCTGAGATAAAAGGCTCCAGTGGCAACTGATGGGCTGAGAGGAAGGATTGTCTGGGGATAAGGCTGAGACTCAGGTGATCCAGGTTCAATTCTGTGACTCTGCCACAGTGATTTGTTGTGACACTTTGGGGTTCAACCAGGCCAGTAAGGGGTTGTGTCACCCTTGCCCTGCAACTCTGGGTGCCTTAAATGGTATTCTGCTGTGGCTCACAGCCCTGAGACCATCAGCCAGCCTAGAAGCATGGTCACACTCTGGCTTTTCACAGGGTGTCCCCAACATGACCCCACTCCCAAATTTCCCCCACACCCACTGCCCTGTAGCATCCAGTCCTCTAGACCTTAAGTTCACTGCTCC